TTTTCTCAAAAAATTTAAATATAAAAAAAGACCTCTGGGCCCACAACTATCAGGGCCAAGCTACACATTCTTTTTTTTAGTGCCACATGGACGTTACTAAAAGACCTTCCGGGCTATGGGGACAAATCTTAGCACTTTTTAAAGACTGGAAACCAGACAAGTCTCTTCCGACGCTAATCATTTGGATATTAAAACAAAAATTTTCTAATACACATGGAATCAAAGATAAAATCATTAAGGAAATTAGAAAATAGTTTTCATTAAAATGGAATGGAAACCATACAAAACCTGTGGGATTCAGCTGATGGGCAAAATTTAGGGAGGGGGGGAACTGAGCATGCTTTATCTTTTTTAAAAGAAATTATTTCTCAAACCAGGCTCCGACCAACACTGGGCAAACCGGTCTCTTTACTAAAAATTAAAATATAGCTGGGATTGGGGCACATGCCGTGGGTATGACCTGTTATCCCAGCTATCGGGGAGCTGAGGAGAAGGAATCAGCTTGACCCAGGAGGCCAGAAGCTTCGGGTGGGGGAGCTGACGTTTGTGCATTCGCACTCCAGCCTGGGGCAACAAGGAGCCAAAACTCCGTCCTCAAAAAAAAAAAAAAAAACAGCAAAGGAAAAAAAAGAAAAAGCAAATATTCTGCAAATCCAATGTATTTAACTTTCACTTTCAAAAACTGCGGGGCCAGGCACGGTGGCTCACACCTGTAATCCCAGCAGCTTTTGGGGGCGAACGGGCAGACACGAGGTCTAGGAGAATCGAGGACCATCCTATGTCAACACAGGTGAAACCCCGTCTCTACCTAAAAAATACAAAAAAACTTAGGCTGGGGCGTAGGTGGCAGGGCGCCTGTGTATCCCAGCTTACTCAGGAGGCTGAGGCAGGAGAATGGCGTGAACCAGGAGGCGGGCTTTCAGTGAGCGAGAGTCGCGCACGCACACTCCAGCCTTGGGCGGACTGAGCAAGACTCGCGTGTCGAGGAAAAAAAAAAAAAAAAAAAAAAAACTGAATAGCTGGGCATGGTGGGCTCAATCTATAATCCCAGCACTCTGGGAGACCAAGATGGGAGGGCTGCTTAAGCCCAGGAGCTTGAAACCAGCCCAGGCAAGACAGTGAGACCCAATTCCACAAAAAATAAAAAAATTAGCCAGGCACAGTGGTGTACACCTGTAGTCCCAGCCACTTGGGAGGCTGAGACAGGAAGATCCCTTGAGCCGAAAAGTTTGAGGCAGCAGTGAGCTATGATCACACCACTGTACTCCAGCCTGGGCAAGAAAATGAGACACCATCCCTTAAAAAACAAACAAAAAGCACAACTAGAAAAAGAGTAAATTATATCCTCCAAAAAGCAAAAGGAAGAGAATAATAAAGTGCATAAATAAAATAAGCTGAAAAGAAAAATAGAGAAAACCAATAAAACCAAAAGCTAATTTTTTGAAAAGATTGATAAAATTGATAAATGTGTAGTCAATCTGTCCAAGCAAAATAGAGAGAAAATTAAAATTAGCCGGGCATGGTGGCTCACGCCTGTAATCCTAGCACTTTGGGAGGCCAAGGGGGGTGGAGTTCGAGACCAGCCTGACCAATGTGGAAAAACCCCGTCTCTACTAAAAATACAAAATTAGCCCAGCATGGTGGCACATGCCTGTAATCCCAGCTACTTGGGAGGCTGAGGCAAGAGAATTGCTTGAACCCAGGAGGCGGAGGTTGCGGTGAGCCAAGATCGCACCATTGTACTCCAGCTTGGGCAACAAGAGCAAAACTCTGTCTACAAAAAAATATATATATATATATATATTCATGATCAGAAATGAAAGAGGAGACATCATTATAGAACCTACAGACATTAAAAGGAAAACAAAGGAATATTACAAAAAATTTTTGTCCATAAATTAGACAACTTATATGAAACAATTCGTTGAAAGGCATTGACACCTAAAGCTCCTTCAAGAAGAAACACGTAATCAAAAAAGATACAATTAAGTTACCTTATTATATGTTTGATTTGTAGTAAGATACTAGTTTCTAGGCTAATGTTCAAAGCACTTGTTAGGTACTGATTGAACTCCTTGAAGAACATTTCATTTCCTTCTTCATACTTCCCATAGTTCTTTGAGTACTCTTTTTGAATGCAGTGATTGGTCAAATGGCAGGTTTTGTCTTGGAAATTATCAACATGATACGGTTCTGAGGCAGTCCGAAGCACACCCTCTCTATAGAGGTAGATATTATACTGATGATCCACCAAGACCCAGCTTCTGCAATTCAACAAAAACACGGCTTTACTCAAGTTATCCAAAGTTTCTGCATATTATATACATCAGTCCCCACATCTTGACTTCTTTTAGGGGGTAGGTGAGGAGTGGGAGGCAACTAGGGAAGGAGGACGTTTCTAAAACTATAAGAGGCATATTAGGATTTAGCTAAGATAGTGAGTTATCACTACAATGAGGCAAACAAAACATTTTACCATAAATAACAAGGAGATTTTGATCAAAAGATAAATAAAGCATTTTGAAGAGATTCAGATGGGTTGTTTTTGTTTTTTGGTTTTTTTGAGACGGAGTTTTGCTTTTGTTGCCCAGGCTGGAGTGCAATGGTGTGATCTTGGCTCACTGCAACCTCCGCCTTCCAGGTTCAAGCAATTCTCCTGCCTCAGCCTCCTGAGTAGCTGGGATTACAGGCGCATGCCACTACGCCCGGCTAATTTTTGCGTTTTTGTAGAGACAGGGTTTCACCATGTTAGCCAGGCTGGTCTTGAAATACTGACATCAGGTGATCCACCCGCCTTGGCCTCTCAAAGTGCTGGACAGGCATAAGCCACTGCACCCAGCCCTAGATGGGCTGGATTTTAAGGTTCACCTGACTCAGGTGATCCACCCGCCTTGGCCTCTCAAAGTGCTGGACAGGCATAAGCCACTGCACCCAGCCCTAGAATGGGCTGGGATTTTAAGGTTCACCTATGAAACCTCCATTTGTCACGTCTCCTCTTCTAGTAATCTTTTTTTTTTTTTTTTTTTTTTTTGAGACGGAGTCTCGCTCTGTCGCCCGGGCTGGAGTGCAGTGGCCGGATCTCAGGCTCACTGCAAGCTCCCGCTCCCGGGTTCCCCCATTCTCCTGCCTCAGCCTCCCGAGTAGCTGGGACTACAGCGCCCGCCATCTCGCCCGGCTAATTTTTTTTTGTATTTTTAGTAGAGACGGGTTTCACTGTGCTAGCCAGGATGGTCTCGATCTCCTGACCTCTGGATCCGCCCGTTCTCGGCCTCCCAAAGTGCTGGATTACAGGCTTGAGCCACCTGCGCCCGGCCCTAGTAATCTTAATAGTGTTCCCCCTGAAGATGATCTGACATAGGGTTGATGTTCAAGAAGCAACAAAATCTATGAAGCAATCAAGGAGACAGAGTCCTTGGTAAGGAGCTGACAGCAAGACCAAGGTAAGTTGAAGAGGCAGGGCTCTTTAAGCTTTAGAATCACCACACAACTCTCTTTCTCCATGCCAAGCCCTTTGCTCAGAAATGTAGCAATCCCCTGAGGGGTCATAAAATCCACAGAGTGGGGACACAAATAACGAAGTGAGGAGAAATTATTTTGGCAAGGTTGCACAGCTAGTTGTGTCTGAATTACGTGTTCCATGTACATCTCTCAGTTTATTCCATAAGCAAGATCATCACATTTATATTCATTTCTTTGAATCCACAAGTCATTTTTCATAGAAAAGGTTTTTTTTTTTTTTTTTTTTTTTTTGGACACAGGAGTCTCACACTGTTGCCCCAGGCTGGAGTGCAATTGGCGCCAATCTCAGCTCACTGCAACCTCCGCTCCCGGGTTCAAGTGATTCTCCTTCCTCAGCCTCCCGAGTACCTGGATTACAGGTGCCTGCCCACCATGCCAGTTAATTTTTTGTACTTTTACTAGAGATGGGGTTTCACCATGTTGGCCAGGCTGGTCTTGAACTCCTGACCTCAGGTGAATCTGCCCACCTCGGACCTCCCAAGTGCTGAGAATTACAGGCGTGAGCCACTGTGCCTGGGCCAGAAAAAAAAATATTTTTTTAAAAAGAAAATCCGTAATTGGTAGTAACATTTCCTAGATGGAAAAAAGAAGAAAGAAAATAGAAAAATTAGGTACACGAAGCTCCAGTTCC